TGCCCTTTTCGGGCGTGCACGGTTTTTCACACTTACCAGCAACTGCTCCCAACTCCTTTTTGCAAGGCGCTGCCAGCATTTTTCCTTCCACCGGAGTGGGAGTACCCATTTATCTACTCACGTGAGTTTTCGAACTGTTGGGTTGATAGGAACTGAGGAGGAAACAGGAGCTCATCCTGCTAACGCAAAGGCTGGACTCGAACCGCTGAAGCGTCGACCATTTCTGGCCAGCAACTTTCAGCATCATTAAGCCACTGCGCCACCGCGTCCCCTTGTCTGCCTCTATAGATAGTGTTTAAAAGATGTTATGGAAGAGGAATGAGTTTTACCTTACCAGATTGAGACTGATTTGAAAGTGGATTTAAAAATCACAGGCTACAAGAATGATAGGGAAAAAGATGCTACACTGGACATACAAAAGAAACCAGCTAATGCCTTAATAATTAAAAAGGATATACAAATAGCAAACCAAGAGAGTGACCTGGATGATTTTTCTATATTGGATTTACAAATGAGGTTTGTTGAAGCTTTGAAGAATTTTGTGAGAAGGGACAAAGAAAAAATGAAAAGAAATCAGGTTCTGGGACATTATTTGAAGCGACTAAAGATCAAGATTGTTAAAAGTAAAAGGAAGGCATATAAAGTTGGTTTATTTGATCAAGGTTAAAATATGTTATCTCTGGTAACCATTAATGGGCTTTTTTGATCAGGACTGAAATGACGAGGCTTTAAGGATTTGTTTATAAATAAGATATGGGATATGGGAAGAAGAGATCATTTGTTGTATTTTAAGAGAAGGTGATAAGTTACTAAAATTGTTTATACTTATGATGAAGGGAGAAGTTATTTCTTTTCTTTTTCTTTACTATATTCTTATATTTTTCTTGTCTTTCTATTTTTTTCTTTTCTGCACCTTCTATTTTTTATTCTTTTATTTTTTTAGTTTGTTTAGTTTTTATTTTTGCAATTGTAATTTTTTATAAAATTGCTATTAAAAAATAACATAGTAAGGAAAGCATGTAAAATGTGGCTTCTCAAATTCTTTCCAACCCTTTTACCATTCATAGTCATAGGAAACATGTATATTTTCTTCTGTGTAACTAAGTAAAGTTCATGTTTTTCTGCTCTTCCTTTATGGTATCTGTGTGTGTGCATACACATACCTGCACTGGGTGGCTATATACATACATTCAGCTCTGGGTCCCACGTCCAGGAAGGAGGGAGTAAGCTTTGAATGAAGCAGTAGGCAGCCTTCCAAGCCATTGCCCAACTACCTCTCTGATAGGGATGCATGCCAAGAGTAATTTGGGGAGTAAAAAATCTCTGTTGCTGTTAGAGGGACTAGAGGGGGGGTCAGGTTTAAGATTCTTCTTCTTCTTCTTTTTAAATGATGCTCTAGGCTACTATTGCAAGAACACCTTTGCTGACCTGCCAAACTAAGTTTAGTCTTTTTTTTACTTAGGACACAAAAAAGTTAATAGTAGTCTTAAATTCATGATGTGATAGATATTATTTCCAGGGAAATTTTTCATGTAAAAAAATTATATGATGAAGCTAGGGTTACAGATAGGCTTTTTTGAGAGCTACAGTTCATTATATATATATTTTTAGCAGTTGGGGGCCATAAATGGCATTAAAAGGCAGTGTCATGACTCCAGGTGCTCAGATCTTGGGTTTCTAGGTTATTTTTTTGGTGCTTAAGAGTTCTGCCTCCCAATTTTTAGATGTGTAAAGCCAAAGGTCACATATGGGGGGGTATTTTCCTCATGAAAATGTATGCCTCTCTGATAACTGCAGAACCAAAGTTCAAGGGGTGTGTGTAGGCCATGATAACATATTCAATGTTAGAACTTAGCAGGACAAATGGGATCTCCAATCAAATATTGCAGAGTACTTTTCTTTAGAATTCCAATTAACCAACATTTTTTATAGAATATTCCTTTCCATTTCCCCATTCCCCACTAGCTGTTTTCATTTATTGTACTTGTTCATGTGTGGTTTTTGTTTTTGTTTTAGAAGGAAGAGTTATTTTCTTACAATTCTTTAGAAAATATTTTGCAAATCTTGGGGTCCCCTCAAAACCTGTAAAAATCCCTCAACCAAGGACCTTTTTGGTTACATAAAGGTCCGGTCTCAGAAATGAAGATTTCTCACCTGCTCTTCCTTTTCTCATAGGGGCCAAGAGAGTGCAGGGATTGTGACAAGTGATGGAGAATCAGCCCATTCTTTCAAAGTGCACAAGGTAATATTGGAAGCTTGTCTCATGTTTCTGGAGGGATGAGGATGATGATGATGATGATGATGATATATCAAATTGGTGTTGGCTTTAGCAACCTCATAAGTAGATTTTCTCTACAAGGATCTGTCCCCAGTCTAGTCCTTCAGGGTCGTTCCGGGGGGGGGGGGGGGGGGAGGAGGAGAGTGTGGACTTAATTCTAAT